AATTTTAGAAATAAAGTTTACATAAAAGTAATATAAGAACGACGATATAAGAAAGTGTCGTAATGATAGAAAATAAACAACTATATACTAATTAGTTATTTATTTGCATGAAACTATTTTACAAATACTTTTATTATATAACAGTATATGTAAAAGTAAAATTCAGACAGATATAAATTATATCTCTCTGAATTAATACCTCTTCTTTATAAATCGCTCAATGTAAGACAGTCTGATCTTTATTACAGTATAATGATTAAAATTCTACAAATATAAAATATTTAATAATTAGTTAATAGTTGTATAATTTCTGTTTAAACTAATTAAATAAATTAGTTATATAATTATGTAAAATTAATTTACAAATATCTGTCTGAATTATACCCTCCTCCTGAGTAAATTACTAAAATTGCCTCTGAATTATTTCCTTTTTCCTAGCTTATCATTTAATAAAAGATGGTGTGATAATGGTATTGAATGATGCAATAAATAGTGAACAACTATAAACTTTTAGTTATTTAATTGAAAATACTTTAAAAAAATACATCTTCAAGTTTCAAAATTATTACCTCACCTTAGTAAATTGTTTAAAGTAAGACTGTGTAATAATGACATGAAGTGATAGTAATTGGAATTATGCAGCTATATATATCAATAAGTTATAAAATTATTTAAAAATGATTTACAAGTATAATGTCTGAATCATCACATCCCCCTAAGTAAATCATGCAATACAAAATGTTTGAATCTGGTATTGAATGATATGAATTATTTTTATATTTTACTGTAATTGGAAATTTCTAAAGCTTTTGATATTTAACTTGCAGGACTTTTGTTTTACTATAGGAACATAGAATAAAAGTGTTATGCTTATTTTAATTAGTAAAGTTATTAGTCCAACATATCAATATTATTTTAGCCTCATTTAAAGATATTGTGATGTTATATTGGTATTTGTTTTTTTTCCAAACTAACGCATAATTTTCTGGTATGTATATATGTTTTTAAGTTCTATGTTTGCTATTTCATATGTTCTACAAAAACTAGCATTGATTTTTTTATATTTTCATTTAAAAAGTTATTTGTTTTGTGCAAATTGAAAATTATTTCTTTATTTAATAAATTTTTTTTTGTCTATTTGTTTTAGTTCGACTACAAGGTTCTGCTCTGCTTCATTCTTTATGTTTAATTTGACTACTGTTGAAATATGGTTTTAATTTAGTAAATTTTCATGAATTGAAATTTACTTTATTAATCATTAGCCAACAGTTTAGGTAATAAAATTGAATTCATTGCCATTAAGGTAAGATTAACTTTGTTCTTTGGTCACACCATTAAACAGTTTATTGTATTTTATTAATATCATGTCATTTCTATTTTGTGTAAATATATTATATTTTTCATGGTAACATAAATTTATATTATACTTAAAGTAAAAGGGGTATTATACTAATACTAACATCTATAAATAAACCTATTATTAGTTTATTAAGTTTCAGTAGTTGTGTAGTGGTAAAGCTACATAAGTCCAAAGTAGTTCTACATTCAATTCGTTTCTTTGCCTTGTTTGTCAAAGTTTGTCTTTAGGAGTTATTGAGAGAGGGTTTTAACCACAACTAAAAGTTGCCTCCTTTACTGTAGCAGCCTTTATAGTCTTGGAAAGGTAAAAAGCACACACAAAAAAAGTTCATTTTATGTAAATTACTTATTTTTAAACAGGTTTTAAATTAGGTAATTGCTGGTTATCTGTTTTATAACATCTCTCGCCAAAAAGAGTTTGCTTAAATAGAAAGGACACTTTTTTTTCAATATCTTTGCTTCCAACAAGGCTGCAATCAACCACTAATAGATTTGGAAGTTACTGGAATAAGATGAAGTTTATAAAGCAAGATAACGATTGACATATGACTTTAAAGATTAGAAATTATATGAATCAAAATAGAAACTGAAGCAGGTGAATTCCAAAGAACTGATGTTCAAAGAAAAAAACTAGATGAATAAGAGTTTTTAGGAGCACTTTGGAGCAGTCACGGAAAAAAGATAAGACTTAATCAAATGAGGAGTAGCATGAGTATTTGTAGAATTGAGAAAAAGAAGCAACATTACATGTGATAATGGTTAGAGGTTTGCAAGACCAGGTCCAACTATGTTTACATTGTGTTTTTGTACTTTGTCTGAAAGGAAAGAATATCATTTTAAGATCCACCTGTCCTTATCTCTCCCGATCCATCTCTCCTGAGATATGGCAACAGTATTCCATATAAGAACAGACTCTTATTTAACAAAACACTATTTATTTAATAAAATACTTTAAATCAAAATATTGCAGCGTAAAATGAGTAAAAAACAGCAAAAGTGCAATGGAAATCCAATACTTTGGTCTTAGACTGTTACCATTACCCCAAGCCCATGATAAACATTCTCACTTTTGGAGATTTTAATAAATTATTAAATCAAAATTATGCAACAAGTTAAAGTAAATCAAGCACTGACTTTAGAAAAAACTATAAATCTATAGCAGAGTATGGTTTTTATCTTATGCTAAATCTTGTAATTTCAATAAAAATAATTTTTTTAAAGTACTTTTTGCAGTAGACGCCAACCACTTTCAATAAGAGAAATAAAACTTTTTTAGATTAAAGTTTATTTTTTCAATTCAAGAAAAATTTCAAACTTATTTAATTTGATTCAGCATTTTTTAAATAATTATTGACTTGATTTACAAGTACGAATTTCAAAAAAAGTGCTACAACCCTCTACAAAAATCTTTATTTCATCTTTTTATTATATAAGCAAGTATAAAATCTGCGATTTTAGAATATCTACGAACAATTATTTTTTGTTCAAGCTTCTCTTGAAATTTTCAACAAGGTTATCTGAAACAAAAATGTAATAAAAAAAAACTATTAAATTTTCATGGTTATGTTAGCTGAATTATTTTTAGCTTTAGTTACACAAAATAGCAATGACATAATAATTATTATAAAAAACAGTTTTAGTGAAAAATACCAATAAAAGAATATAATAAAAAAACTGTTTAATGGTGTGACCAAAGAACAAAGTTAATCTTACCTTAATGGCAATGAATTCAATTTTATTACCTAAACTGTTGGCTAATGATTAATAAAGTAAATTTCAATTCATGAAAATTTACTAAATTAAAACCATATTTCAACAGTAGTCAAATTAAACATAAAGAATGAAGCAGAGCAGAACCTTGTAGTCGAACTAAAACAAATAGACAAAAAAAAATTTATTAAATAAAGAAATAATTTTCAATTTGCACAAAACAAATAACTTTTTAAATGAAAATATAAAAAAATCAATGCTAGTTTTTGTAGAACATATGAAATAGCAAACATAGAACTTAAAAACATATATACATACCAGAAAATTATGCGTTAGTTTGGAAAAAAAACAAATACCAATATAACATCACAATATCTTTAAATGAGGCTAAAATAATATTGATATGTTGGACTAATAACTTTACTAATTAAAATAAGCATAACACTTTTATTCTATGTTCCTATAGTAAAACAAAAGTCCTGCAAGTTAAATATCAAAAGCTTTAGAAATTTCCAATTACAGTAAAATATAAAAATAATTCATATCATTCAATACCAGATTCAAACATTTTGTATTGCATGATTTACTTAGGGGGATGTGATGATTCAGACATTATACTTGTAAATCATTTTTAAATAATTTTATAACTTATTGATATATATAGCTGCATAATTCCAATTACTATCACTTCATGTCATTATTACACAGTCTTACTTTAAACAATTTACTAAGGTGAGGTAATAATTTTGAAACTTGAAGATGTATTTTTTTAAAGTATTTTCAATTAAATAACTAAAAGTTTATAGTTGTTCACTATTTATTGCATCATTCAATACCATTATCACACCATCTTTTATTAAATGATAAGCTAGGAAAAAGGAAATAATTCAGAGGCAATTTTAGTAATTTACTCAGGAGGAGGGTATAATTCAGACAGATATTTGTAAATTAATTTTACATAATTATATAACTAATTTATTTAATTAGTTTAAACAGAAATTATACAACTATTAACTAATTATTAAATATTTTATATTTGTAGAATTTTAATCATTATACTGTAATAAAGATCAGACTGTCTTACATTGAGCGATTTATAAAGAAGAGGTATTAATTCAGAGAGATATAATTTATATCTGTCTGAATTTTACTTTTACATATACTGTTATATAATAAAAGTATTTGTAAAATAGTTTCATGCAAATAAATAACTAATTAGTATATAGTTGTTTATTTTCTATCATTACGACACTTTCTTATATCGTCGTTCTTATATTACTTTTATGTAAACTTTATTTCTAAAATTCTTGTCATATAAACGTTTTTTTCTCTTTGTTTATGTTTACAAAGGTAGTACGGACGTTTTAGGTACACTTCTAACAGTTATAACCCGAAAGCGCAAACTCGTTTTGAGTTTTTCATAGGGGGATGGAATAATTCATGAGGTGGGAATAATCTACTACAGAAAGCGCCGTTATTATTTTCTTAATAAGTTGGTAATAATGGTGGATATGTTTTGAAAAAAAAACTGTTCCAAATGCTATTGATTCACATTCATAACATTTAATGTTGCGAAAAATATTGTTTACAAAACGAAATGGTTTGAATATCTCACCAGTTTAATTTCGTAGTTAAACTTTTGGCTTGAAAATGCCCTGATATAAATGTTTTTATGTCATATTTTAGGTACGTGTGTAAAAATTTAAACCATTTATTCATTTAAGTATTATATATGGTTTGAAAGAGCTTTGAATTTATATCAAAATGGTGAAAATTTTATGAAAAACGAACAATTACAAAAAAAGTTATGCTTATTTAAGTAACATTTTTTTTATGAAGGATTGTTTAGGAAAAATGCAACCATCGTAAAAAACTCGCGTTCGGCTAACGGTAGCTTTGTTGTAGAACGTTATTGTTAATTTGCGCATGATGGTTTCCAATAAGAAACTATATATATCATTGTTCTTCTTTTTAATGCTAACAATTCTGCCGTAATATACCTCATGGGTGTTATTGGCATTATCGAACCACATGTGGCAAATACTTCTTCCAATAGCAGCTCCAATAAGAATTTCTTCAATATCTGAGGCCTCGTTATTTTCTAGGTCAGGAAACATTTCTTTTACCTGATCGGGCATGCAACTTTTTAATATTTTTTCTACCTTTCTGCGGTCTTTGTCCTCCCTTTTCTGAATTTTATCTGCCATTCGTTTTAGCAGTTCTAACTTCAGTTCATTATGACATTGCATACTTGTAAATCGATTTTTCCTGGCATTAGAGCCCATAATATCAACTTGTTTTGAATATCAGTTGGCTTTTTACAAAGCAGACCAGTTGTTTTATTTTTGCAAGCACGAAGTTTCGAAGAAAGAAAACAAAGAGTAGCATTAGGAGCTTTGTGCTTTGCAGCGCTAAACATACCCATAAGTTCTTCTGAATCAATGTTGTGAAGCCTAGCTGACTTAGTCTGGTCTTTAAGAAGATCATTGGAACTCATTTCGAACTGATGCTTGTACTGCCTGTCAATGACGCTAATAACAGCATTAAGACAGTCACCTAATGCTTTACTCATTTCATTAGTTACTGGGCAAAAGCTGATTATTGAATCAAAAACAACATCTTTAATATCATTACCAAAGAAATCAGTTTTTCGTTTAAGTAGAGATAAGGGATTCTTGCTGCTCTCAATAAGAGTGTTCCTAACATCTTTTACTACCTGAATGCCAGATATGTAGTCAAGTCCTGTACCTGGTGCAATATAAAATTTTGTCATCCAAGGGCCAGAAAGTAGCTTTCCAATTAAAGCTAAAACACACAACTCACGGATACCTAAGGTAAATTAGTTAATAAGTAACAAAAAATAAAATTTGTCTTTATTCTTTGTTAATCATGTGTCATTACTATGTTATAAAGATGCATTCTATAACCTATAATATTGTAAATAATAGTGGTATACCTATTTCAGATGTAAAGTCTTGAAACAAACTATTTCGCAGACCTCCACATAACGCCAAGCCAGAACACAGAAATATCTTCAATATGGCATAATGATGGATCAAAATACCACATGTGTGAAAAAGTATATGTAATCTGTTCCCTCTATAGCGTGGTAGCAATCCTCTGGGCAACTCATGTTGGTCCAAAAAGGTTACAAAACCCTTTGGATCGCCTATGAATAACATAAAGAAAGTCATTTTGGGAATTGCAAGGAGAATATGAATTAAAAACATGCAATAATTATAATATTTATATATTTTTAACTTGTAACTTTACTTACAAAACTACACTATATTAAAGTAAAAGAATGGTTTTAAAACTATATAGGTACCTTTAGCATCCTTGTAACGAAGTTTGTTCAGCTGTACAACAATGTTTGCTGCTATGCAGTCTCTTCCAAAAAGTTTCCCTTTTGAAGTCTCTAATGCTTTAAGTGAAGACCTGCAAGAGCTTGTCATTGTGTCCAAGGGGTGAAGGTGACAGTTAAGTTCATTTAATGATTTCTGCCAAACTAGGTTTAACTTTGAGACTGTTGCATGGTTTGTTGCTACTCTATCACTCATGGTATTTGTTATGTTCCCGATAATAGTGCTTCTTACATCAGTGTATTTAAGCTTATAGAAGTCACTATATAACTTAGCAAGATTATCAACAGATTTTGTAATATGACTCTGATAGTCATAAGCTGTACCTCCAGGAAGTTGATCAATAGCTACAACCATACATACTGATTCGGTTGTTAAGTGCACAGCATTTACATTACACTAAATTAAATTCAACAATCATAACACTACTTTAATTGTAATTTAATCATTATTATATTTAATTACTATTTAATTGGGTCAGCAATCAATCACAATTAACTAACTAATAAATTGCCTTTGATCAATAAAAAATTATAGATATATATAATTTTTATATATCATAAATAATGCTGGTTGGTGGTTATATGGTAAATTATGGGTACAGAAAAAAATTGAGAAAATGCTGTTTTTGTTTGTTATCATTATTTCGCATTTTATTCTGAATCACCATAAAAAAAAGTCATAATTTTTATTTCAGCATTTTAAATTAGATTTAACAGAATTTAGCCTTGTGTGAAATCATCAATAGTGTTAGTAATATTATTACTAACAACAATAGTGTTAGTAATATTATTACTAACAACTTTTTTTTTTCAATAGCCATTTATTACTAATAAAAGGCTATTGAAAAAAAAATTGTATACCTTTTTAATGAAAACTATCTATATATCTCATTATTATGAATAAACAATCTAATATACCAAATGCTCACCATCAAATTAACCCCCCCCCTCCCTGCCTAAACGGAAGTGGAAATACATACCTCCACTGAACAGAAAAATAGGGTGTCTGCGCATGAATATTTTTTAATGAAATTTGGCAGGCACATAGAAAATAGATTTATACTGCTTACTGGAAAATTTTAAAAGTGTAGCAACATGCCTTCAATATCAATGTACCTCCAGAACAGAAACGAAATTTGAAAATCTAATAAAAATCACTAGTAAATGTAAAAAAAAACAGCAGAATTTATATCAAGAAGTAACAGTAACATTAACAGAAACAGTTTAATAAAGTGTAACAGTAACAGTAGTTGTAAAAAAGGTGGAAAATGTACCTCCACTAGGTGGCAAAATAGGGTGTCTGCGCATGAATATTTTTTAATGAAATTTGGCAGGAACATAGAAAATAGATTTACACAGCTGACTGGAAAATTTTAAATGTGTAGCAACATGCCTTCAATATCAATGCACTTCCAGAACACGAACAAAATTTTAAAGAGCAATAAAATCACTGAAAAACTTAATACTTTTGGAAAAAAACATAATTTATACAACCTAAAACATTCTACTTTTCAAAAAAAGTCTAAGCTGATATAAAATTCTAAAAAAAAAGACTAATAAATACATCCTTACCACACCGACTTCGAGCACGCTGTGAAAAAAACGGTCACAGTTTTTTACTTATAAATCGGTGCCGTAAATAGCCAGATACGCACGTACCTAATATATATATATATATATATATATATATATATATATATATATATATATATATATATATATATATATATATATATATATATATATATATATATATATATATATATATATATATATATATATATATATATATATATGTATATATATATATATATACATATATGTATATACATATATATATATATATATATATATATATATATATATATATATATATATATATATATATGTATATATATATATATAAACTTTCTGTAAACAATTTTACAATCAAATTTTCATATTTAAAAGTTATTTTGTAAATGATTTAAATTTTTTGTATATTGAAAAATTATTTTGTAAATTGATTTAATTTTTTTAAATTGTTTTAGAAGATTCAAAATTGAGGCATTAGTATAAAAATTATATCATAAGCCAAAGTCAACAAGAAGATGTCTTGCAAAGTTTCTCTGATAGCAGAAATGATACCCGATTTGTAGACAAAGGTATCAGTGAATTAGTTGTTTTAATTAAAAAAATTTCAGGTAAATATTTACCTAAAAAATTATATAAAATCATATAAACTATATAAAACTAATATAAATAAACTAATATGTTGAATTTGTTTTAAATTGTTTTAGAAAATACTAAATTGATAAAAGAGCATAAAAATTATGGCATGAGACAAAGCCAGCAAGAAAATATCATTCGTAGTCCATCTGACAGAAACATCAGAAGTTTATATATTGACAAAGGTAAGGTTATATAAATAAAAAACAAGTTAATTACATGCTCATTCGCAGAGACAAGATGTGTAATAATTTTTGAAAATGTGTATATATTTATTTGTGTGTATATATATATATATATGTATATATATATATATATATATATATATATATATATATATATATATATATATATATATATATATATATATATATATATATATATATATATATATATATATATATATGCCTATTCATATTTGGTATGTTTTACAACAGGGTATGTGGATTTTAATAATCAAACATTTACTGGAAAGAATTCTAGACAACTTGTAAATTGTTCTACAATTTTAAAAAAGCCAATGAGCGAAAATTTAATTGCTGCTGATGAAAATAATTGTATTGAGGCTCTAGTAGCCTTTTCAGGTAAAAGTTAGTATTTTTTATTTTAAAGAGTTAAAAATAAAACATTAATATTTACTTTGAATTTTGTTTTTGTGAATTTTATCTTGTAGGAGTTGAACCTGCATTTTGTCACCATGATGCTGATAATACAATATCCAAAAGAAAAGTTTGAAAACTAGATGAAGAAGATAATATTATCTTTAATAAAGATAAGGGGTAACAAAGTAGCCAAAACATATTTAGGTGAGCATCAGCGCGGGTGAGATGTGTGATTTTAAATTGTTTTAAATCTTTTCAGATATATACAAGTTGTTATTTCGATGATTTATGTCGTTTTTGTAAATTGGACATTTTTATAAATTACATATATATATATATATATATATATATATATATATATATATATATATATATATATATATATATATATATATATATATATATATATATATATATATATATATATATATGCATTTATCTTAAATTAGATTATGTATCCTTTAATAAGCCAAAAAACATCGACATGGATTCAAATCAACCAATAAAGATATCAGCAATTTTAAAAAAACATGCAATAAGAGAGGATTTATTTACCGGTTCAAATGCTGAAGAAAATAATTGCAATGATTCTTTAGTTTCAGGTACCACAAAAAGTGAAAAAATTTATCTTTAATTTAAAAAATTTATAACATTAAACAAATTACTTTTTGGTAAATTATGTTTCTTAATGGTGAGAGTTCGAAACCTCATAATTAATAGCAAGACAAATAATAATTTAAAACAAATAAAAATATAATAAAATATATTCGCAAAAAATAGTTACTCACAAGTCAACGTCTCCTTTTTAGACTGAGGTAGGCGTCTCTCTATAGTGGGGATTCCCCAAAGTAGGCATATAACAAATAAATGAAACCTTTAAAAATCATCACTCCAGTTTTAGGTTTAACAAATTTAAGATTGTACAATACTAAATCATAGAATATGATATAACAACCTTTGCTTTTAAATTTGAATTTGTTTTAAATTTAAATTTATTTTAAATTTAAATTTGTTTTAAATTTAAATTTATTTTAAATTTAAATTTGTTTTAAATTTAAATTTATTTTAAATTTAAATTTGTTTTAAATTTAAATTTTTTAAATTTAAATTTGTTTTAAATTTATGTTTTAATAGAATATGTTCTAATTTTTGCTATTTTGTCTTTTATTGTATAGATCAAGGTGAGTCATCAAAAAGTCATTAAAACTTTAACAATAAAGGAGGTAGACCGAAAAATTCTACTAACGAAACATATCCAATGAGTAATGCCACATTTCAGCGTAAAATAATGTCACAACATCACTTGAAAATGAAAATAATCAAGATTGAAAAAACTGTCGATATGGCTGTTGGTCTTTTACAACAGCTTTTAGATAAAGGTTCAAATGTAGTTACGTTTGATCAGGTTACCTCAATGGACGACCTGATAAAATTCGAGATCCGTCTTAAAGACAATTTAATTAAAGAAAAGTTAACGCGGAAATTTGAAGCAATGGGACCTGTCTGCAAAGATTCAAAAGCGCATTGCTATGCAATTTTTGACCGAGGAAGTGCAATCTAAAGCTAATGTTATGTATGGTAATCACGTGCCAAACAAAAATTATACTGACCATTTGTCATTAACACGCGACTTGCCTTTGATTTTTTCTTCCATTCTAGCATCGTTAGTTTCATGGAAGGTACCAGAAAAACTTTAGAAATCCTTTTTGAGTGAAAGGTTGAAGCAAGATATGAGAAGAGCTCATGCTGCCAAAAGAGATTAAACTGTATATTCTTTATTTTTTATATTTAGTTTTTTAGTTGGTATATTTATATTGTGAATGGTAAAAAAGCTTGGAAGAAATTGTAGCAAGTAAAATATAATAAATGTAGATCATATTTTAGTTAAAGTCAATCGAAGTTTAGAGAATTTATATATGTTGATTGGTAAAAAGTCACCAATCATTGATCAAAAATTAAAAAAAAAAGTAGTTTGCAAGATTGAAATCTTAGTATAAATTCCGTAGCAGGCTTTAATAAATCTTTCGTGAAGTCTACGTATTTTTGGTTTACACTTTGATCGCGTTATACACGTGTGTGTTTTAGATTTAATGTCTGTATTAAAACCTCATAAGACTCGTATTTATAGTCTCATAAAGCCCGTGTTTAAAAAATAAAATAAACTCGCGTTTGAAACCTCAGAAAACACGTGTATAACTCCAGTTCAACTTCCCGTGAAATCCACGTGTTTTTGGTTTACGCTTGGATCGTAACAATTACGTGTTTATACGGGTTTTAATTCCGAGATTAAAACTAGATGTGCCGGCTGGTTTAGGGTGATAGCTCCCTCATCATGGTAACATCTTAAGTAAATTTTTAAATCTTTTAATTTTTTCTCCGATTAAAATTGAACTTAAATGTTCAAATTGAGTGAAATTTTGACCTCATAGTCCGCTTATAAAAAAAACTACAGAATGCAAATGTAGCCTATGGCCTAATTTCAGATAGATTAGTCTATTACAGTGACAGAACCAGGAGGATGGTGGGTATGCATCCCCCTCCACCACCACCACTACCACCAAAAATTAATGGATCCGTCACTGGTCCGCTAGTTCAAAACTTACGGCAGTTTTAGTTTAAACATTTTTTACTACTTCCACCACAAAACGTTTCCGACTGCTTTAGTATTTAGCAACTGTTTTCAAAATTAGAAGAGTGTACTACTAGGTATTAAGAATTATTTTTATTTAATTGTCTCATTGCTACTTTTAACATTTTTATTCTTTAGAGCAAAATATTGGTTAACTATTTAAAGCATAGTTTGATTTGCTTTCCCAAAAGCAAAAAATTCAGCATTTCCTAAGTTATAAAGTGGAGGCAAAGTATATAAACGTGCTTGAAAAAAAAAATTGACAAGCTTGATCAAAGTTGGTCAAAGTTGGTCAAACTTGTATTTCTCGTAAATCAGATATGCTGTGAGGCTATATATTTTTCTCTTTTAAACTAAAATAACTTAATTTGATTCATGAACAAACTATTTTGTTCTTAAAAATACTAAACAAACTACTTTGTTCTCTTGTTTATTTTGAACATTTTTTACTTTACAGCATAAACATCATTAAACAATAAATTTTAACAATAACACTATTTTGCAATAAATTTAACAAAAAATTAAAAATTTAAACCCTGTTTGTAATTTTCACACCTAGGTCAAAAATCTTTTTTACTAAAACTGCTTTACTATACTTTCATTGTATCTTTACTGTAATACAAATGGCTTAAATTAATAATATCTGCAGAGTCCAAGTAGAGGACTTTTTTAAAAAATTGACAAATGTGCTTCTTCCCCCCCCCCCCCCCCCACACACACACATATATACACACACACACACACACACTTCGAAACCCGTGTCGTCGGCCCTGGGAGATCTAAAATCGAACAAAAAGAATTAATATTTTTTTTTTATTAAAAAAAAAGAGTAGGTGTAAGGAACTATTATTGCCTACATAGTTCATAAAAACAGTCTCATTTTTTTGTATTTATTAGGAGGTATTAAAGCACTTATCTATTAGGAGGTATTAATGCACTTGTTTATTAGGAGGTATTAATGCACTTATGCGTTATACCTCTCAATAGTTACTAAATACAAAATAGAATAAAATATTTCTCATATCATTAACTTAATATTATTTCTACCATGGTAAACATTATCTTTTAAGTTTAAATGATGTCTCACTTTTTGTATATTTATTTTTAGTATGCCAATGTATAAGATTATATTTCATTGGTTAAGTTTTCTTTATATATATATATATATAATATATATATATATATATATATATATATATATATATATATATATATATATATATATATATATATATATATATATATATATATATATATATATATATATATATATATATATATATATATATATATATATATATATATATATATATATATATATATATATATATATATATATATATATATATATATATATATATATATATATATATATATATATATATATATATATATATATATATATATATATATATATATATATATATATATATATATATATATATATATTGTTTTTGTTATCACAATGTTAAATCAAGCAAAAGTTTATGATAAAAATCGATAGCAAAAAAAATTAAATTTTAAATTTTAAATTTGTCTTTTTCATATAATATATAGCAAAAATTAACAGCTTATTGCTTTTTTATAGCAAAAATTAACAGCTTATTGCTTTTTCCAATCAAATATGCAAGTTGTACAATATCAACCTCAACGTTGTTTTTTTGCAGAGTCTTTGTAATACCTCTGATACTCAAATATTTGAGCTCTGCAAATCTTGCAGAGCAACTTTGCCCAGCAAAAATAAAGGAAAAAAGTTACACTTCTCCTTTATTTGATTTCAATTTAATACTAGTGTGAGTTGAAATAAAAGGCACAGCGTGTTATTGCTTTTTCTGCCGAAAGAAGCTGCAAAAAAAAAAAAAAAAAAATGTTTTACGTTAGATTTACTGAACAGAGTTTATGATGAACTATGTTTGTTAAACATAGTAGTAATTAAAATAAATTGACTTCTCGAGTTCCAGTCAATGTTCAATTAAGTATAGAATTTATAATCGATAGAAAAGTATAAGAAGCTGTGTATCAAACATCGAATAGCAGGATCTTAGAACTTTTTAGCTAATTTTCAAGACAGGTTAACACTTCAGTAATTACAGTCGCACAGTTCAGGTTGCTGCTCACTGCAAAGATGTTCGCAAAAGAAAAACAGTAACCATTTAGAGTACAAGGGTAAAATATTGAACTGCACAACAGATCCGAATAATAAGCACCTTTAAAGTACCATCAAATAATAGTAGGAAAGAAGATCTAGCAACTAAATTTAGCTTGATTTCTTTTCCTAAAATTAATTTCTTATTACGAATCTGGCAATTAAAAGTAATCAGTAGAAAGTGTTTTACACTTAGATTTGCACTTGCTTAAACTTGTGAAGATATACCCATTAACTATAAATTAGGAAAGCATAATTTAACTTGGTTTCAAAATTTAAGTAGTCTTGGAGTGTAGAGTATAGTGTAGAGTATAGAGTGTTTCTTTGCAGTTAACATATAACTGCGGTTTACTCTAAAAATTGCATACCTATAGATATGCGATAAAATAATTGCTTATAAGCAATTATGTGCCGTTTTAGAGCCTCCACACAAAATAACATAAATTATACATCATATACCATGCAATATATGATTTTTGTAAATTTTTTATATGTATGACAATAAAAAGTAATTAAAAACGTTAGCAATATAATATAAGGCATATAAGACTGTAAGCAAGATAAGACCGTTTGATTTTCTACTGAGGTTTTCCGCTTTATTTTAGCAGGTTTTTTGTTATTATTATTATTATTTAATTTATATATAAAAATATATACACATTGTTGTGAAATCTTTATTATGTAATTATAAAGTTAAAAAATAATATAAGAGCAGTAATAAAACTATTATTATATTTTACTATATATGTCACTTTGAACAAACTTTGCATCAGATTAACTTTGCAAGAATAGTGAGAAAATGCAAAAATATTTCAAGAGCTAACCTTAATGGTAGATATTTTATCCATTTGGACCAAATTTCAAAAATAAAAACAGATATAAAAAAAGGCCTTCGAATGCAAAATAAAAATAACTAAAAATAAATCTCAAAATTTTGGGTCTTCAAATTATTTCAGTAAAACCATCACGCATGAATATCGAGTAATTATATAGATAATATTAATTAAACATTGTTCGCCTTAATAATCACAAAGTTATAAGTTGTAGTAAGCTGATATTACTTTGTTAACATATTTCAATATGTTCATGCTTGTCAATTTAAAATACATCAACAAGGGCTTATTTTAAAACTACATGGAGATTTCAGCATGCTCTCTCTTTTCTACCAACACTCATTGTCATCATTGTCTCAGATGAGAGTTGTAAGGTGGTCAGATTAGACAATACTTTTCTATTGTCTTGCTGGTTTTTTTGAAAAATTTTTTTATTTGCAGAGAAATCAGTGATACGGAAACCGTAAATTAGTTAAAAATAAAGTTTTCAGTAGTATATTTTAAAAATAATGTTTTCAGTAGTATATTTTAAAAATAACGTTTTCAGTAGTATATTTTATGTAATGCAACAAAGTTTACATTAAAAAAGCATTTAAAAAGTGATTAAAAATTATCAGTAAACTGCACAAATTCATTAAAAGTTTTTTTCCTTTTCATTATATTTAACAAAGTATGTTATGAAAACAAATAAACAGAAAAAGTACAAATATCTTATTTTTTAAATTTTAATCAAAACTTTGACTCTTTCTAGGAAAGCTTATATGACTTTATGACATTTGAAAGTATAATTCCCTTGGGTTTCTAATTCCATCCGATTCTAATTTAGGAATGTATGAAGAATCATTAATGAAATCATTTTTTGAAGTTAATCGGTCCATGAAAATATTGCTCAATCCATCTGTTTTTATGTGCGAGTAGGAGTCATGGTCAGGGTAAGCAGGTTCGTTGTGCTCTATTATATCCATTCCAGCTTCCGAAACTAAAAAAAATAGTTTTTTTTACATAACTTAAGGCTGTACTTCAACATTTGTAGAAAAAACACAATACAAAGCTTAAATTATGTTATAATTTAAAATTACAGTATGTATATACAAGTATATATAAATACAAGTACAGCATATATATACAAATTACTGTACACTATTTTTTACCTCTAATATCATTGTTTTTAGCAACTTTGAATAAAACGAGTACTATAAGAAGTATAAATAAAGATATTCCAGACCAGACAAATATTGCGACACCTCCTAACAAATTCCATCCAAAGTCTCGAAAATTTACTGTGGATCCATTATAAAGTATACCTCGTGAACGAAATAAGGGTCCAGCTAACAGCGCCCATAAACCACACCCAAGATTCACTAAGTTAAAAAAATAATTTTTAACTTATTTAGTTAAAAAAGTATTTTTTCTGATTTATATTATGTTTTATGCTAATTTATAAAGTTATATTAATTTTACTTTTTCTTTTTAATTAAAAAAACCTGCCGGAAACAGTTTGAGTAGGATCATCGATATGCAACGAATGAAGTATGAAATTCCAAAAAACGAATGCAAGCCCTCCCACAACACCGATTACAAATCCACCGTATGAATGATACGTATCTGGATCACACGACACACTCACCTTTATAAATAATTAACATTTATAAACAAAAAATCAAAATTTTAACTTTAATAGTCTTTTTATTTAAAAACAAGTTCTTTAAATATTGTCAAAAAAAAAAGGGACAGAAAGTACTGGACAAAATATACCGGACACAAGGTACCATACAAATTATGTTAAAACATAAACTTTTTAAACGCGTATCAGCACTCATATGCAGATAAGCGTAACTCAACTCAAACGTTATAATATAGCTACAATATTTAGTAAAATTTTCTAACAGACATAAATAAACATAATCATAACATACATTAACAAAAAAATAGGTTTAGTAGTGGAAACCTTTTGAAAATACGATTTATGTTTCTTACCCCCATCCATGTTGTTGACATTAATAAACTAGTGGGGTGTTTTTTGGCACTTGAGAGTATTTGTGCATGGGAGAGAAAAGGGTTACGAGGCTGGTTGAAATGTAACATTTACACAAAAGGTTTTGCCAAAAGATAAATAAATCCAAAATCCGCACTACCACAAATTACCATGAATGCCATTAGTGTTTTAAAAGATGTACATTTTTAATTTTTTTTTGTAATAGATGGCTGGTCAAAAAGAGATTTATGTCTAAAATAAGAAATTAATAACTTGGTTGATACTGCTTTTGATCACTTTAAAGCAACAATAAAGAATTATGATCTATTTAAATGTGTGCGTGGAGGTCATAAAGCAAAAAATATTAATGTAGCTACGTAAGTTAAAAAAAGTTTAAATATAATATTTTGATATTTAAATACAATATTTAATTATTTAAATACCATATTTGATTATTTAACCAATATTTGTTTATTTATAGTTTTTGTATCAACAGAATTTGTATCAACAGAACTTGTTTGTGTGAATCACGTAGTAATTTTTCCAATGATTAAACCCTTGTCTATCGATGAGTGGAGGCACTAAAGAATGAGTAGATTGTTTTGTATCAACACAATCAATCATACAAGCAGATATATGACTTTCACTATTTTCATGTAGCTCGACATCACGTT